GTACCATCCACAAATCCAACACAAGAACGGAAGGAGCTATTCTCGCTGATCTTCTCTGATATAATACATCGTTCATTTCTGTCTGGCCAGTGCAGAAATTGTTTTTCTTTTGCTAAAATAGCTCTAATTGTTCTCTTGGTGTAATTTATAACAGTGCCTTCTATTTTCAGTATATATTACATGTTAATAAATGTGAGGATATAATAGAATTGTATACTAACCAGAAACGCCAAAATAATCAGATACCTGCATTGTCGAAGCAGCGTTTCCTTTACATCCCAATCGATGGAAAGTGATCAAGAAGTGGAGTCGAATCTTTTCTTGTGAAAATGACTCAAAGTCCCCATAATCACCAAAAACTTCAACAGCTTCTTCGAAGGCTTCTTTAGTCATTCTAATTTTGCTTTTAAAAATGCTTTCTCTGCCTTCATGTAACAAATCGAGATATGTACCAGTACGTACACGTGTACCCCAATTTTTTTTTATGCTGTATCTTTCGGTTTTAAGGGCCAAGTAAGCAGCTCCCATGTCGTCCAGAATCGTTTTCGTCTTCGTGATTTCTTCGAAATCTTCTTTGTTGAGATCTGCGTCATCCGAAGACTCGATCAGTTTATTGTACTTTTTAACGTAAAAAAGCATAAGTCTTTCTAAAGCTTTTATATTCCTTTGTTTTTCTGAGTAAAGAGGCATGATAAATGGAAAACGAATGGTAATATGAAAGAACTAAAGTAATTAATTATGTCATGCATGATGGGCTTTACATCACATTTGGAATTCTACAATATCATTGGACGAAATACGAAACTTGATTGAACTTTAAATTTCTTGATGCTATTTTAGCGTCAAGAATTAAGAAAAAATATCAAGAAAAAAGTAGCCAATATAATTTATGAAAAGAAACTTGAAATTTGAAACTTGAAATTCAGAAATCACTTGAGTGCCCCTAATGACAAAAGTTAGTCATAGCTTATGTGGATCATGAAAAAGGATTTAAAGAGCTGACAGAACAATGATGAATATTGAGTCTGAAATCTGGTTACTCATATTGCATATTTGGGGCATAAGATGTAACAGGATCATGACAACAGGTGTCTGAGTAGTATTTGTGGCAGTACGTTTAATGGATATGATTTCAAAATAATTCGCCAATTGCCCGTTCAACTACAGGCTGAATTTCCTGCATATCTTAGTCATAGAGGCGCTGTTTCGAAGCAAGTGGGTGATCTTTTAAGGCCATGCATCCAAAACTCCATGGGACCTGAAAGATTATCGAAAGTTTTGCGTGAGCTCCATACATTAAAGCACGATCGCAGTGAGCTGCAATATCTCACTGCTATGAAGGTAGCCATTTTCTTTTCTCTTTTTTATACACTTTAATATTGATATCTTTCTGAAGGCTAAGTATGGGGATCAAAGCATTACTCGGTTCTTTACTATGCCCATAGTTATCGAGCCTTTTTTGCCTTTTGATAACCAAAAATGATACGCAGGTTATAAGCCTACTCAGACGTATATTAGGACCATCTGTCGTATTTGGGTACGACTCACTTAAGAATAAATAAGCAAATCATTCAAATAATTAAATTATGAAATAAAAAGAACCTTCAATGTTGCATAACAGCATACACATGTATACTGCTACACAACTTCTCCTACTTCGAGTACATATTTCTATATTAAAGATTACATGATTGGCCTAAATACGATATACGAATGACAGTTGGATACAGAAAGCTATACCGCTGAGTTACGATATCACCGATCGAGAAGAGAATCTTCTCAGATCAAATCAAGAATTATAAGAAAGAGAAACTTAATATTAATAGTTCTCTCAATGGCTTAGCTACCCATAGAGAGAATAGAACAGCTATTAGTATAAATAGTTCATTTACTTATATGTTGATATAATTATACTGCCTATAAGAGTATAAAGAAATAGTGTATGAATTAATGGATACCTATCTTCTACAACCAAATATACAAATTTCGATAACATATTCTATATTTGGGATCATATTTTATGCATTAGAAAATTAAAGCATAAATGATCAATTACAACTATTATGTTCTATTGCCAATTACACTTGACAAGCAAGTATGTATCTTTTAACAGTATCCGTTACACGATCTTACAAAGAAGTGTGCCACTGCACCAAGTATTTGTCAGAATACTCGTGTTCCCGTTTCACACATCTGGGACAACGTTACCTTTAATCAATTCTAACGAGTAGAGTTTAGATAACACAAGATGGAAGACTAAAATATAGATTTATTCCAAAACCAGAAAGGTTGACTCATCATAAATCCAGGAGATGTTGGCAATATAAAAAGGATTGATTATTTCATAGCAGCAGAGTTCTTTAGTCTATTTTTACCCTAATAAAAATATTCGTTTTATCTCATTATTTTTATACGTGCATTTTATCAAATATCACACCATCTCCACTGTAATCATTAGTAAACTTAGGCCTTACATGGACAAGCAGATGATGCTTCTATGTGGAAAAGTGCTAAAACGTGATCATTCGTTCAGATCATCAAGCACATTGCGAGTGTTAATAGAACTAATATGTTTAATGCGCTGTACACGATCTGTAACGAGTTTGAAGAGATTAGAATGATGCTGTTAAGACACTGGTAATAGTTCTTAAAGGATAAGATGGATATAGGTTATTATCACTGATGTTAATAATAAATTAGTTATGAAAGTGAGCACCAGACTGGAAGTATTCAACTTAAGAAATCTTATAATATAAAGTTTTTAGGATAAGAAGATAATCAACGATGATTTTAAGAGGGCGTAAGTAATATAAATATAAACTGATTGCCAAGATTAAAAAGAAAAGTAATGATGTTATTATAAACAATATCTTATATACGGTTTTAGTAATAAAGAGATTTGAGTCGAGTGTGAAAATTGAACTTTGAGTTAATTGTTATATGAAAAGTACAGACTTAAGATAAACATGAAGTATGAAAGTTGAGGGAAATGTGGAGAAACTTTGTTTAACACAGAAAAAAATAGAATAAAAAACAGGTAAATAAGATTAATAGTGCTTGTGGGCTTTTAACATATTATTAGTTTTAAAAAAAATAGGGCCAAAAAAAATAGCCTTTTATGTATTTTTGTGACCCAAACCTTAAAAATGAACAAAATTTCTCGAAAATAATCAAAATAAATTAATAACTGAATGGAAAAAATTCTTAAAACTATTTTGATAATTTTTATATATCAATAACATGTATCCTCGATGATATATAAAAAAAAAAATGGCAAAAAAAAGCAAATCCAAAGGCTCTATGATTTTTTAAAAATTGACCCAAACTCTAAAAATGAACAAAATTTCTCAAAAAATAATCAAAAAAAATTAATAACTGAATGGAAAAAATTCTTAAAACTATTTTGATAATTTTTATGTATTAATAACATGTATCCTCGATGATATATAAAAAAACGGCAGAAAAAAAGCAAATTCTAAGGCTCTATGATTTTTTAAAGATTGAACCAACTGTTTAGTGGGTAAACAAAACCCCGTTGAGAAACACACTGTAAGTGGACCCACTGTCAAGTGAAAAAAAAAATTCCCTTTAGATACACACTGTAAGTGGACCCACTGTCAAGTGAATTAAAAAAAATCCCTTTGGAAACCCACTGAGTGTGGACCCACTGTCAAGTGAATAAAAAAAAAATCGCTTTGGATACACACTGTAAGTGGACCCACTGTCAGGTGAATTAAAAAAACAAATCCCTTTGGAAACCCACTGTAAGTGGACCCACTGTCAAGTGAATAAAAAAAAATTGCTTTGGATACACACTGTAAGTGGACCCACTGTCAAGTGAATAAAAAAAAGATTCCCTTTTGATACACACTGTAAGTGGACCCACTGTCAAGTGAATTAAAAAAAATCCCTTTGGAAGCCCACTGTAAGTGGACCCACTGTCAAGTGAATTAAAAAAAATTCCCTTGGATACACACTGTAAGTGGACACACTGTCAAGTGAATAAAAAAAAATGCTTTGGATACACACTGTAAGTGGACCCACTGTCAAGTGAATTAAAAAAAATCCTTTTGGATACACACTGTTTAATAGAAAAAAATTGGCCTGAAGCGAGTATGTTTAAGTGAATAAAGAAAACTGGGGATGTCGCATGAGGCTGGAAATTTTATCAAAAACATACGTATTTTATGATCAAATAAAAAAAAAAGGTGTTGTGGCGTCATATTTAGAACTAATAATATTTCATTTTAAATTTATGCGTGGCATACGTAAAGTAGCCGGTTTTAATATCAGAGAATCACGTTCTATTTACTTTTTGATGGTTCCTTGTCTGAATCTTTTTTCGGTCTTCCTCTTGCCTTTTTTATGATATCGGGTAGCTGATCAGCGATCTCTTTTTTAGATGGTTCTCCCTTTTTTTTTGGTCTACCAGGTTTTCGTTTTTCTTGTTGCTGCGTGTCAGTGTCAGACTCATTGGATGATCTTGAAGGTGAATCCAGTTTAGCTTTTTTACCCTATTAAATTATATAAATGAGATTTACTTAATTCAGATATGATTAATTCCTTTATCCTACCATTGTATGCGGGTGATTTCCATTATCAAGAGCAACATTCATTCTTTTTTTGCTTGTTGGACCTAAGGTAAAAATAATTTGTAAATCATACTATTCTTGTTTTATAAAAATTAGGTATTACGGTTATCAATATTGGTAGCTGTGTCAGATGATGCGTGTGTACTTGTAGAGTTGTCTGAAATATCAGATGTGCTTGAAGACATGGAAGCATTACGTTTTCTAAAAAAAGGGTGAAAAGGCGCTTGCAAATTATCTTTTCTTGCTGATGTTCTTGGCGCAATGTTTGCCGAAGAAAGGGTCAAAAGATGGTTGATATTTAAACGAAAGGTTCTACATTTTGTCGATCAGGCATTTTTCCTTTTGAATTAGTATTGGATGGTGGCGTTATTTGTGTATCCAAAGTGTTTGAACTATCCTCATTGATATCGGTTTCTGGCTTGATAATTCTTCTTTTTCGAATTGAAGGTTGAATATTGTCTTTGGTTCTGTATTCTACAAATCGAAATTAAAATTGAATGCAGTTAAGTATTTATTATAACTCGTCCTAATTTTCGTCATGTTTAAAGATTGTTTTTTTTTTTGATATATTTACCTTGTTCTACAGCTGTGGTGGTATTACTTTTAAGGTTGGAACTTGTACCACATTCTGTGGCTTTTTCGTTTTCCACTTGCGAAGTTAAATCTGAAATATTTTTTTCCTTCTCTGCTGCCCTTTCTTCATTTCTTCCATTTGCGGAATCACCTTTTTGTTGCATTGCGTCTGGTCTTTTTAAAAGCTCTTGCTCTACCTCATCCACATATTCCTGCATACGATCTATTTCTTCATCAACGATCTCACCGTCGCTATCAAGCAATACCGGCGTCGCGTCTTTTTTAGATGACTCCATTTCGAAGTCATCATCGCTGCTGGAATCAGAGAATCTTCTTCCGGAACGAAAGTACTCTCGGGCAGCTTGATCCCCTTCAAGATCTTCATCGCTTGAATCATCCTCATCCACGTCGTTGTGTACATTTGAAGTAGTAGTGGAATTGTTTTCTTGTGGATTTTGAATTTCTTCATCGTCTGGATGTACGGTGGGTTGATCACGATCATGCATATTATTATTTAAGGATTCTAGATATTTAGAGTTTGGATTAGGTTAGAATAATGCAAAATATTACAAGGATTTCATATACCCAAATCATCATTCACACCAAAGGTTGATTGGAAAAAATCGGGGCCGATTTCAAAATCTTGAGTGGCAGACAAGTTTACATGGAAATATCCCTCTTTCACACCCTCAGAGAGCTGCGTTGGACCGACTTCAGGATGCACCATATATTTAATTTGTTGGATATAAGTGGTACACATGGGATTACGGACATTGAGAGGGGCTTCATGTGGAATTTTTCTTCGACTACCCTTCCTAAGAATGCATTCAACGCTGTTTTTTGTTCCATCACCCCAGTTGCTATCATCATAATTGGTCTTTTTTTGTTTTCCTATTGTCAATCTTCCATGTTACATCATAATCTTGGAAAGCTTTTAGCAAAATGTCTTTATCGGA